AGGGCATTTTGGTGTGAAGAAGACCCTTCAGCGAATTCAGGAACGGTTTTATTGGATGAACAGTTCCGACGATGTAAAAGACTGGTGTAAGAAATGTACTATTTGTGCTACGAGTAACGGGCCTTATCGAAAAAGGAGAGCTCCTATGAGACAATATAATGTGGGAAGCCCGTTTGAAAGAATAGCTTTGGACATTGCTGGGCCGTTTCCAGAAAGTAATAATGGAGGCAAGTACATGTTAGTAGTAATGGATTACTTCACTAAGTGGGTCGAGATTTACGCACTTCCAGACCAGAAGGCGGCCACCGTTGCAGATAAGTTGATGCAAGAATATATCAGCCGATTTGGAGTGCCTTTGGAGATCCATAGTGACCAAGGCAGGAACTTCGAAAGCGATTTATTCCAAGGAATATGTGATAGACTAGGTATGAAGAAAACAAGAACTACGGCTTATCATCCGCAATCGGATGGTATGGTAGAACGAATGAATAGAACAGTTGGCAAGTATTTGACAAAGATGGTGTCCGATCATCAGCGAGACTGGGACCAATATCTCCCGTTCTTCACAATGGCCTACAGATCTGCTGTTAATGAATCAACAGGCCAGACACCAGCCAGAGTCCTATTCGGACGCAAGATGCGACTACCTTGTGATCTAGAGTTTGGGTGTCGACCTGGAGAAGATGTAGCAGGTGAAGATTATGTGATCGAATTACGAAGAAGAATGGACGATGTACACGAGTTGGTCCGTTCCCATCTCCAGATCGCTAGTGACCGAATGAAGAAACGGTACGATACGCAAGCCGAAAAGGGGTGTTTTAAGAAGAACGATAAAGTCTGGCTTTATAACCCCAACAAGCGAAAAGGTTGTTCTCCCAAATTGCAGCAGTTTTGGGAAGGTCCATACCTCATTATGGAGAAGATCAATGATGTTATTTACCGAATAAGCAAGATTCCGAGAGGAAAGCCGATGATAGTACACCATAACCGGTTGGCGTCTTTCGAGGGTGACCACGACGTAGATGAAGAAGTGGAAGTAAACCAAGTCCAAGATGTGTCTGACCTCACGTTTGAGGAATTCATGGGTGCCTATGGAGGTACCGGTAAAGCAAGACATGGTGTTACCACTGAAGAAAGGCAAGATCTACTCGCGCTTCCCGATGACTACTCACTGGCCCTTACCATCCCGGCCAGTATCAAAGATGCACCAGGGTTGGCATCCGTCTTTCGAAGGAAGTTTGGTCGAGTTGCAGAACTTCAATTCCAAGTGCCAGCTCCTGGTAAAACCTTGAAACTTCAAGATGCATCACGTTACCTTTTCTACCTGGTAACAAAAGACACTGCCCGTGACCAACCTACCTACCGAGATGTATGGGAAGCCTTACTTCAGTTGAGAGAGCACGTACTAGAGTCCGACGTGCAAAAGTTAGCCATGCCAAAGTTGGAGTGCTGCCAATTAGATTGGAGGGTTATACGAAACATGGTGGAGGAAATCTTTAAAGACACCGAAGTCCAGGTGTTAGTCTGTTGCAATCCGCATAGTTACTGGTGCGGAGAGAAAACCGTCCCTTGTCATTTCTATACAACTGGAAGTTGTAAAAGAGGGTCCAGTTGCCGATATCAGCATGTCGTTCCAGTTCCAGTCCCGACAAGGTTCCAGGAGGAACCATCTTTTAAGAGGGGGGCAATGTTACGATTTTAAATGTTATGGCATATAGAACTGTAAATATTTTATGACTAATCCTTTTTTTATTGATTCTCGTAATTTGTAGGTCAAAATCTACCTGAGCTTCGATACCAGTTGTTTACAGAAATATCTAGACCCTAATTTTAGTGAGTCATCCACGACTCGAAGTTGAAAAAGAACTAGTCTCAGCGGTTAATTGCCTTCACCGAAAAAACCAGTATATTCCATGGGGTTCTTTGCAAAAGTAGGTCACCGAACTTTCCAGATAGCGGAAGTTTCTTTATATATAAAGACGAAATTTTATTGAAGAACTTAGTCATAAGAAGATCGGGGAAAGCGGTTTACTTGTAACGAAACGTAAATAAATTATTATTTGTAATATAAATTAGGATTAATAAAGACTTTAATAAATTCGTAATTAGTTATCGTGAGTTTTAATAAATCAGAATATAGACAATAAATTAGAATAAAGACAAATAAATTAGAACTATATAAATATACAACAGATGAATTTTCCTTTTAGGTTACAGATTTGCGTGCCCTGCAATATAATCCCGATGGAAATATTTACTATAAAGTAAGATTCGGGGGTGATTGGTGCATATTGCCACAAAGAACAGATAATAAAGTTACGACAAAACTTTGGAATGAACTGCCAGGCTTATATGCAACCCGACGTAAAATAAAAAAGAAAAAGTTCGAGGATTTACAAGAATTAAAAAAAGTAATCCCTTCCGATTATCACGAGTACTATGATAATATTCCATTTGATTATTTTTCTTTACTTTCTAAAATTACTTTCTAAAATTAATCATTATTTTTCTTTGTCAATTATTAGTTTTATGGATTAGATTTTAGAAAAAAATTTTTTGTTTCACTAGTTTCTAGTTGTCTATACCTTTGTATAGACAGTCTATACCTTTGTACAGACTTTGTATACCTCGTCTTCCCATCTCTTTTTTGGTCTTAAAACAGGTCTTTTTCCTTGCATTCTTGCGTTTAGTAATTTTCTGGGGATTCTGTTCTCATGCATGCGGGCCACATGCGCTGCCCATCGTAATCTCTGCAGTCTAGTGTATTGTGCTGGTGTTGGTTCCGTGTATTGTTCGTATATTTCGTTATTATATCTAATTCGCCAGTTGTTATTTTCCTTTATTGGACCCAGTATTCTACGCAATATTTTTCTTTCGAACACGTCTAATGCATTGGTAGATTTCTGTGTTATAACCCATGTTTCACACCCATAACTTACTATGGGTCGGATTATTGTTATATACCCGGAGTTTTGTTTTCCGGTGTACGTCTCGCGATTTGAATATGTGGCCCATCGCGCAATAGGCTTTGTTTGCCAGCATAAGCCTTCTATTTATTTCCGGTTCTTCTTCATTATTTTCGACCAGATCCATTCCTAAATACGTGAATCTATTCACGTATTCTATATCGTCTATAAATTGTTGTTGTTGCGCCTGTCTATTTGATCTGGTTTGTATGAGTAGTTTTGTTTTGTTTGTATTTATTGTTAGCCCTACAACTTCTGAACTCTGTTTCAACTGAACGTAGGTTTCTTCTGCCGCAGTCTTTGTTCTGCTCATTATGTTTATGTCATCTGCGTATGCTGCTAATTGGGTAGATTTGTTTGTAAGTATGTTATTTCTGCTCACCGTCAACCGTCTAATTACATATTCAAGAACAAGATTAAAAAGTGTTGGAGCCAGTCCGTCACCTTGTTTCAGTCCTTGCGTTGTCATAAACGCATCAGTGATCTGTCCTTGAATACATACATGTGCTTCTGTTTCTGTCATTGTCATTTGCACTAGTCTTATTAATTTTGATGGTATGCCAAATTCTTGTAATATATTAGGTAGTATTGTTCTATCTATTGAATCATAGGCTTGCTTGAAATCTACAAAGAGATTGTAGACGTCTATGTCATATTCCCATGCTTTGGCTAGTATTTGTTTAACTGTAAATAGTTTCTCAATAGAAGATCTATTTTGCCTGAACCCTGCTTGATATTCCCCGATAATTTTTTCAGTGAGGGGTTGAAGTCTTCGATTAAGAATGTTTGTGAGTATTTTGTATCCCGAACAAAGTAAAGAGATGCCTCTATAATCCTGGCATAACAGTTTGTCTCCTTTTTTATGAATAGGGCAGATTATACTTTTCTTCCATTGTTGTGGGATTTTTTCATCTCTCCATATTTCTTGTATAAGCTGGTACATCTGTTCTGTCAAATTTGTTCCTCCCTGCTTGAACAGTTCTGCCGGTATCTTATCTATTCCCGGCGCTTTATGGCTTTTTTGCATTTGGATTGCTGTTCGAACCTCCTCTAGCGTTGGAGGTCTAGCCAATTCATTATCTTCTCCATCTTCCCACAGCTCCTGTTGTTGACCTTCCTGTTCTACCTGCTGCTGCCGATGTTGTAGTGGTGTTTGTGCCCTTTCGTTTAATAATTCCTTAAAATACATCATCCAGGTTCTCTTAATTTCGTCCATATCGCTAATTATTTCCCCATTCTTATTTACCCATTCTTATTTCCCCATTCTTATTTTTGCATAGGCTAGTCTTCGGTTTGTAACCCTGTCTTAAATGTTTGATAAGTTGGTATGCACTGCGTGTTTCGTTTTCCTTGAACGCCCTCTCTATGTTTAGTATCCGGTTGTTTTCGTACCGTCTCTTTTTCTGTCTGCATAGTTTATCAGCTCTTCGTCTTTTATTCTCAAATTATGTCCTTCTCTCTCTAGTTCGTCTGAGTATGAAATTCTTATGTGCTTCATTTCTTTCGTGAATAGCTTGTTTGCATTCTTCATCGAACCACTGTTCTTCTCTCCGTTGAGTGTTTGTTCCAAGAACTTCTTGTGCCGTGTTTAGTATGATAGTGCTTATGGTGTTCCGTATTATGATTCCGATACCATTCCAGTGCTATTTCTGATTATTACCCAAGTAATATATTATTTTGTTTTCTGTTTATTTTTTTATGAATCAGGCCATTCTATCTCGCTTATTCAAATGATATCAATATTTAACCTGTTCATTTCTTCGATGATGTTATGATTTTGCCTGTCTCGAACATGCTTCTACTATTTCAGGTGTGGGTTTTTCCACTTTCGGATGGGTTCCAGCCGTCTTCAAGAATTGTATTAATTAGTTGAATTGGCTATAGTGAGTCGGACCTTCAATTTTTATAATTATTTTCCTGAATATTTCAGCTAGATCATACTCAAATTCTATTCACAAACAAAACTATTTACAAAAATACAGTTTCGTAATAAACTATGTATGGACTTAACAAATAAAACTTTTACATTTTCAGTGGGTAAATCCGAAGGTTGGACTAGATTGTGGACTTCAGGAACTAGTTTACCGTACAATCAATGGGTATGGATGGCTACAGGTAATCCTGTTGTTTATACCAACTGGTATCCCGGCGAACCGAACAATCAAACACATCAGGAAGTATGTATAGAAGTGAAATATAGCCAAACCGAAAAGAGTCTGGTCTGGAACGATATCCGATCGAGTGCAGACATACTTGCACTTTGTGAAGCAAAAATTGATAAACCGCGTTTGTAAATAATTGATGTAATTTACAATGTTACTAGTTCAGTTCCTAAATTCTAATATACTGATAATAAATATAACAGGTAGTTTTTTCTTCTTCTGATCTGGGTTCCAAATGGTATTCTTTACATTTTTACCACCTTTTGTATTTTTATTTTAAATGTCTAAAACGAATTGTTCGTATTTTATGGCCTAACATCATCAGAAACAAAGATCTACTACACCTGAACGAACAAAAAAGGGTAGAACATTAAATAAGGTCAAGAAAGTGGGGTTGGATTATTCACACTCGGAAAAAATAATTCCTGTATTGCAAAGATTGTTAAAAATATATATGAAAATGCCACAATAACCATAAGTCTACATTCTGGAATTAATAAAATAAAGATAAAAAGGGGAATCAGGCAAGGTGATACCATGTCACCAAAGCTGTTCATTACCGTTCTTGAGTATGCATTTAAAAGACTAACATGGCAACAGAAAGAAATATCCATCGATGGAGAAAGATTAAACCATCTACGTTTTGCAGACGATATCGTGCTTCTGTCAGATAATCTGGGAGAGATCAAAGACATGCTCCAAGAACTGAATAACATACTACAAGAAACTGGGCTGGAGATAAATTTCGAGAAAACCAAAATGATAACCAATATGGTTCCCAGCGAAGAGATACAGATCAATAACAACAAAGTAGAATTAATCAATAAATATACATACTTGGGTCATGAAATTAGAATAACTAGAGACATCCAAACCTGCGAACTAAATAGACGAATCACGTTGGGATGAGCGGCATATGAAAGGATGAGAGACATTTTTAAAACAAATATTCCAATTCACCTGAAAAGGAAGGCATTTAACCAATGCATCTTACCGGTCTTGACCTACGGAGCAAAGACCCTAACTTTAACGAAAGCTACTGTCGAAAAACTGAGGGTAACACAAAGGCGAATGGAGAGATCAATGCTGGGCCTGACCTTGAAAGATCGCGTGAGAAATGAGGAGATACGCCGACGAACTGGCGTAGACAACTGTAACAGCTGCCATCGGGACAAACGATTGAAGGATAAATCAGAAAAATCAGGCACAGACAAAGAGGTCAAGGGTTCAAGAGTCAGGAAATGTCCTGGGGTTAAAGCATTGAGATTTTCAACATCATTGGTTATTGGGGTGAGAGGGCATGAATTTAAGACGGATTCAATTAACGTCAAAACAGTATAAAATACAGAACGAATTCCACGTTCATAAATCGAGAGTTGTGTGCGAATCGCAACATAAAAGCCAAAATTCTTTGGATCGAGGCAAAAGACGATTTATTTTTCAACAAACAAGAGAAAAAATGTTCCTAATGAGTGGAAACAAATACTAAAGCTTTCTTTGTCTCTTCCAAAGAAGAATTTTCCTGAAATGAGGGCGGAACCTCTGAAAAATAATGAAATATTATACAAAAACGAAGGACCTGTTAACCAGTCTAACTTTGATAGAAAAGCGGCCGGTAGCATGCCTCGCGAAGGCGAATCGATTGCATTATTTCGAGATTCGATATAATGCCAAGAATAATTTTGACTATGGGACTGGATATACGAAGTGCGATTTGCGACAAAAGTTTTTTTGTCTCTCTGTTGCAGAAAGTTTCTATAAGGTATTTATTATATATGTGTCCTATTGGGTTGTCTCGTGTGTTTGTGTTGCCTGTGTGTGATGGCTGTAGGGGATAGTTCGTATCGATTGTTTGAGTTGATCGTTCTGTAGCTTGAGTCATATATGTTTCATTTTGTATATGTTGGTTATAAGTTTGAAGGGTGAAGGTTCAGTAGGTATTGTTTGTGTCGCAGTTTCATGTTGTGTGTTATGTGTAACTGTAATGTTATTATCTTCGATATAGGATGTAAGTTGTTTTTGTAGGGATGATGTATTGATTTTGGATATGGTTGTAAGTGTGGTAAACTTTCTGGGAGAGTTGACTGTAAGGAACTCGAATTTTGAGTAAGTAGATTTTGTGTTTTAAATAATTGGTTGAATCTGTGTTGATTGCAGAATTGTAAAGGAATGTGTATGTTTAGGCATGTTTATGTGATGTTTTCTAGGACTATAGTGGGGGATGGGGTGGGTGTTTTTTATTTGGGTCTGTTCGTTATGGTAAGGTATTTGGCTCTGGGAAGAACTTTTTTATTCAAAGATTGATGGGGTTTGTTAGGTAAAGGTAGGCTATTTTTTCCGATTTGTTCACGTAGACTGCAAAGAAATCGTTTTTGTCTCTAACATGACAGGAATGATTAGAATTAGTGGGGTTTGGCTACAGAATTTTGTGTCGTGTGAGTGTGTTACGTCATGTTATTTAAAGGACTCGTAGTTCAGGTAATCGTAATAGTTTCGTAGACTCACTGCTGCTTCCCTGAGTTCCTCAGTTGTTTGAATCGGGCATACATCTATAGTAATGGACACTCGGTACAAACGGGATGAGCGTGAGCATAACAACTGATTATCAACCTCCTGTTCAAATACTGTAAGTATTTTTATGGGCTCTAAGTTGAGATGAGGGTTTTGTGACATAAAGTTGTTAATGTATTGTGTCATGTGTTCGATGCCGTATTTTGAGTGGCTATCGGTGTTTAAGGTGTGTGTGTAAAATTTGTAGTTGTGGTACTACTCTGTGATTTGCAGGTCGCTATGAATGATGAGTTTTGGTGTGTATTTTGATGCGTGAGGTATCTTTGTGGTGTGTTAGAAATTTGTGTGTTATATATTGCGTCAGTGTTTTGAATATCAGTTGATCTGTAAGTATTTTGAATGTCAGAATTGAAATTGTCCAGGATGAGAACTTAGAGGATGGTGTTTGTTGTAAGGGTTTTTGGTTGGTTGCCATGGAAACAACGGTACCTCGAACTTTAAAGCATATTTCATCTGAACGAAGTTTTTAATTAGAAGGGGGCTCTTTTTTTGGTGCTAAGGTCCACTTGTTAGGAATGCTTTTTTTCTTTTTTGTATTATTTAGTTATCCCATCTGCCTTTCCTATATAATTTTTCCAAATATACGTCCATACATTCGATATAAATATTTTATATCGCCTGTTTTCGCTAAGACCAAACCTCCTCTGTAACTCCTTTTTGGGAGGATGTTATCGTTACATTGATTTTTCCACTTCATATATTATAAGATACTTTTTCTCTAATGATTAATACCGAATAATGACTATATCGCACTCTACTAAATAAAGGCTTTGTTTTTCTGTATGATTTATATTCTTCACCCTCTTGTCATTCCTCTCCTGATGTCATAAACTTTTCTCTGGTCAATAATATCGAAGAACCTGTCGGACACTTTCCTACTAGGAAATAATTTTTGCTGTTTATGCGATTTGGTAATTATTGGCTGCCTTTAAAGGAATTAAAAATTTCTTATTTTTTCAATTTATATGATTGCATTAATGACTTTTTGGTACGAGTATGATTACTTGTTTTGTATTGTCTCTTGTTTACTGTCATTTACGGCATTTAATTCCTCCTCATATTCGATTGCCTTTTCGATTTATATCGGAGATGCATGTCTCCGGTAACTGATGGTTCTTTATTTCCTTTAAAGCCGCATGTACTTCTCACATTGTACATTGGTAAAAGTACTTCAGATTCCTGATTTATGAGAGTGCCTACTCTTCTTCTTCTTTTTCTTTTTATATGAACATGACTCTGTCTGTTTTTCAATGTGCATCCAGTAAGTTGTCTTTCCATTGTTTTCGTGGTCTTCCTACTGATCGTTTTCCTATTGGGGAGTCGTTTCATACCGACTTTACTACTCTATTTGTTGTCATTCGGCTTATATGACCGTTTTATTTTACTATTTTATTTATTTTCCAGTTTTTGATTTTCTTCACCTTGTTTTCATCTCTACTATTTCTAACATTCTTTTTGTCCTCTCTGTGTAAGGTTGTGTTTTTGCCGAGTATGTTGTTATTGGTCTGATGACCGTTTTAATATCGTTTTTTAAATTCGGCCTTTCATTTCTTTCTCAATATTTTTATTTCTCCATACGGTTTCATTCAGGCAGCCTGCGGCTCTGTTTGCTCTATTCACATGACCTTCCACTTAAGTTTCGAGCTTTCTGTAGCTGGATAATGTGCTGCCTAGATATTTAAACTTTATCACTTATTTTCTTATCTGACCTTTGAACTCCAATTTACATCTTAGTAAATTTGCGGTTATTACCATGCATTTTGTCATTTTGAGGGAAATTAACATGTTAAATTTTCTGGCTGTTATATTAAATTATTGCAGCATTCATTGTAAATCATCTTCTTTGTATTGCATCGTCGGCATAGCAGATTATTTTAAGTTTTTTTCTCCCATTTGGTATCCTTTTTTAGTTAGAGGCCCTTTTTAGATCAATAAAGCGATTTTACCATATATTTACCTTATGCTTTATATATAAAGCTAATATGACTAATATCATTCATACTGGAATTTGATATATGTCATGTGATATCTCTCTCTTCAATCCTGACCCCCCAGGGGGAGTGTAGTGGTCGACGTGATGTCGTGTATTGTCCGTCTCCAGAGATCTCTGTCTCTGGTCATTTCTTTTAATTCATGCATAGGTCTTTGGCATATTCCTGTAATTTGATCTATCCATCTTGTTGGGGATCTTCCTCGTGGTCTTCGGCCTTCTACCTTTCCTTGTATTTCTTGTCATGTGATATATGTCGCTATAATGTCGATGTTTTGGTAGTCTCTTTCTCTTTTTCTCTATCTAAATATATTCGTTATATCCTCCCTTGTATTTGCTATGTCGCATGTTAGGATTAGGTCAGTTGTTTATCTTGTACTCAGCCGAGGCCTTCTGTAAGTCAATAGATCAAAATGTGTCTTATGGTATATCTATTTTTATTTATAGTGCCCTATGATATCTCCTATGTCGTTATCATCGAGCAAAAAGACAAAAGAGGGAATGTAAAGGTAGTGGGGGCAAAAATATTGTTAGACAGGAAGTGCGATCTTTAGAGTCCACACTAAACAAGGAAAGATAGTCTCTCTTCTTGTTTGACATCAAATTTAGTTGGGTTATGTTATTATTTGTCCATGAATT